TCACACGATCTAGTACCGAGAATTCTTAACAATAATCTCCATAATATTTCAAGTTAAAGTTTAAAGACCGTTTACTAATTATACATCTCTATGTGTAGGTGTAAGGTAGAAGGCAGGCGCCGTCGGCACCAGAGACAAAGAGGCGCGCTGATTGCAGCGCGGTGACTTGCAGACGTAAACCATGAAATGCGACGGGAGGAGCAACAACGGTTCCGTATTACAAGCTCATAGGTTATAAATTGTAAAAAAATGCCTTGCACTGTATTTACTAATTGGGGTTTATTTTTTTTTCATAGAGCCCAGTTGTAGCTTTCTGCAAAGTTACCATCAACTTCTAGAATAATTAGAAGTGTTTAAGGTGCGTTGATAGTACGAGATTAAAACTCCCGTTGCACTAAGCGAGACTAGTTGCCCCTTTGGTCATATGTATAGAAATCATGCTCGACATCCGTCTCGCGGCTTGTGCTAGTGGCGTCGGTTTTAGAATGAGGAATGGCATAGTTTAAGAAGAGAAAAATATTTCCAGATGTATATAGTTTAAAAATAAATACATATATACACCATTTCCATTTTATGTATTCATCTTTTTGTAATACATAAATAAGTATCTCTAAAATCATTATTAAAGTCGGCATATCATTTACAAAGTGTTGGCTACTTATTTATTGATTAAATAGATACATGCCGTAGTCTGTGAGCAAACAACGGTAGTGCCGGCAAAAAGTCGGCCCTCTTTGTGCCGGCAATTGTCTAACTAAATGTATTTGATGACAATGCGCATTCTGTTAGGACGCGGTTTCATGGTGCACGCCTATTTAGGTATCCATCCACATACTTGTATATAATGGGACTATTAATTTTAAAATATAAAAGTAATAGATTGCAATAAAGTTTATTTAATACTAGCTGTCGCCCGCGACTTTGTGCGCGGGATTAAACATAGGTGTTGGCCGATTCTTAGACCTACTCAATATGCTCACAAAATTTCATGGGAATCGGTCAAGCCGTTTCGGAGGAGTATGGGAACAAAAATTGTGACACGACAATTTTATATATAAGATAAAATTGTTGAAAATAATTGAGATTTAATTTAGAATAATCCAGAAAAATTACTCGCAAGATTTATGGTTACATTATTGTATTTAATTGAAGTTAAATTTAATCTTCTGTTTCTTTGATTCCCTTATATTTATAAGGTAAATACTAAAACAGACTTCTATGATGTTCGCTAAAGCAAGCAAGAATCAAGTGACAAAAACTGTTTTGAATATGACCTTGACATTTAAAGAATCGTTTGATTCGATTGTCATCAAGTTCAAAACAAAGTGTTCGAAGTTCAAACATTAACTCCTCGGCGATAGTTTTTAGGCGGTAATCATAAATCGGTAGAATCTTTACCCTCTACCCTTTTTGTCTGTTGTAATGAGCGTATTACCATACAAATAGAATGAGTTTTGGTCTGGCGGTATAATGAAGTCCGGCGCCCCGCTGGTTTGGAGGCTTTGTGGCCGCCGGCGGCAGACCGCTGCAAAGTACAATCAGGTTCGCTCGCAGTTTTCCAACTTAAAAGCGATAGTAGATTGAACGTCTTATACACCTTGCAACCATAAATATTGGTAAATCTTACTTCTTACTAATATTATAAATGAGAATGTTTAGATGGATGGATGTTTTTGTAGGTATCTCTAGAACAGCTGAACAGATCACGATGAAATTTGACACACATATAGAACATACTCTACAAGAACACATAGGCTTATGACGTTTTTTTAATTCCGAGAGGACGGAGTTGCGGATTACAGCTAGTACAGTAATTTAGCAGTGGGACATTAAATCTAATAGTTTATTTTTACTTCATTTTCTTTCCTTCTATAGCTTTATTTTTTTAAGAGTACAGAATATAGCTAAGATGTTTTTTTGTTTGACATAATTTCAAAAACCTAATTTATGTGAAAGAAAGGTATAAGGCTCTTGTAATCTGTAACTAGTATACTGCGAATGAACGCGACTGTACATGCAGGCTATTGCTTTACAAATATTGGTTGATGATGATTAAATGTGCCGCGTTTCTATTGATTTGATAATTACGAAAGGAAAGTCACTTAGCGCTAGCATCACTACTACATAAATTAGTTTAAACGAAGATGGGTCGGCAATTTATGTACCTCAGTGTTTCGATATTTGATTGTTGATTGGAGTTACTTGTAAATGTTGATTTGAAGAAATAAAATGTACTGTAATTGAAAAATGTTTACTAAAGTTTCCATAACTCTAAATTTGTGATAAATTATTGTACCTTCAAAAAAATCAAATTAAAATTGTTAAAAATAATTAATAAATCAATAACACGTTTAATTTTTAAGTATAAATCTTTCTGTATGGATTATTTTTCTTATCTTACTAATATTATAAATTTTGACATTTGGATGTATGGATGGATAAGGATAGATGGATGTTTGTTAGAAGGTATCTCGGTCTATAAATTTACGGTATATGTAAAACATAGGTTACTGTTTTTTTTTATTCCGCGCGGACGGAGTCACAGGCCACTGCTAGTAATATCGCTTTCATCACATCGTTTGCTTATGCAAAATCTGAATACTAATTGCAACGAAAGCTTGTTTATTTATGAGCATTACCCTAAATAGAATATTAGGAATAACATAATAATAAGGTGGATGCTATAAATTCGAGTGTAGCCTGAAGCGAATGCGTTTGGATTGGTCCTAACAAGTATTTACGACTAAGAAGACAGGCATAGAAACTATATCAAGTGCATTAAAATTATTTAGGGTTGCAGTTAATCTTAGTATACAAAATACAAAAACATAAAAATATGCAGACGATTAAAAAAAACATGAATAATTGAATACATCAGCAATCGCCCGCGACTCAGTCCGCGCTGAAATAAAAAACTTAATTAGTTGCCTATGTGTTCTTCCAAGCTATGTTCTACATCTATGCCAAATATTAGCGATATCCATGAAGCCGTTCCCGAGATACCTTCAAACAAACATCCATCCATTTATCCATCCAAACATTCCCATTTATAATATTATTAACATTTGCAGTATACTTGGAAATACATTATTTAAACGTAATCTTAAAATAAACATCCAAATTAAACAAAGGAAAAAGGGTTATTAATAATTTAATCGTTTTTAAAACGTTATTTTTCAATTCATGACGCATTCCAATGATTAATGTCGCTTCTAAAAAATGAGATGCGTTTAAGTCTAATGTATAAGAGTTTAAGATAAAGGATTTTTATTTACGTAGCAAATAATTTAAGGAAAAATGTTCATCACGATATCCATGGGTAGCACGAATGAAGTCAGTCTAGATGACAAAAGAGTTGACTTACACCGCCATCTATTATAAAATTATGTAAATCAAAAATATTCATAGTTAATTTTGCAATAAAAATGTTAAAGTAATTCAAGTTAAAACCTATCCAATAATGAATATCCTAATGTATCCTATCCTATATTTTGATATATTTACTTATAGATTCAAGATTGTTCTAATAGTTTCGGGGTTCACGGACCAATATTTAATTCATTTGCTTTATTAAAAATACGATATTAAAACACAAAATTTAGTTAAAATTACTCACTATTAAATAATTTAGTAATATTTAAGACAATTTTTAAGTTTATAAGTAAGTCAGGAACACAAACAATCTTGAAGCCAAATAATGAATTATTAACGATATTGGCAACCCTGTTACGTAAATAGTAATAGAGTTTGTCAATATAATAAAGGACGTGGTTTAAGTATCTCAATTTATGCAGTTAAATTGTGATAAATGAATAATAAATAATAATTCACTGTTTCCTGAACCTAACAGCCTAATTGCGCTGTCTAGATCTTGTTCTCTAATAAGATACTTTGTTAGATTACGATTTGGTATTAGTTATCTGTCTTATAAAATTAGAAGCATTTTGATATTAAATAAATTAATGTAATATGATTTTTTGATAGGTGAATTATTCTTATTATTAAATTTAGGTAAATAAACTAAAATATAAAGGTTACTAGCTGTCGCCGGCGACTCCGTCCGCGCGGGATTAAAAATAGATGTTGGCCGATTCTCAGACCTACTCAATATGCTCACAAATTGTCGTGATAATCAGTCAAGCCGTTTCGGAGGAGTATGAGAACGAAAATTGTGACACGAGAATTTTATATATAAGATGTACACTTTAAAAAAATAGAAAAAAATATTTCAAGTAGATCGTAGATAGTAGAAAATGGATTAAACGTATTTTGGACTTTGACTCCATAACAGTTGTAGTTAGCCTTTTTTTCATATTAATCATTATTTTTGCTACTATAATTGACTAGCGAAAAAAATCTATTCTATAATATTCCTGCATACATTAGCAATGGTATTTTATTATAAAGAAAGAAAATACATCAAGTTCACGAAATACTTTTTTATTACTTTTCTATATTGCATACAGACAAACCATTTAATTGTGCGTTTGACTCATGCACAAAGTTAGACATCTTTATATACCGACTAAATAATTATAATTTTATATGTAAAGAAGAAAATTACTTTAGCGAAGTTAAAGGAAAAACTAAAACGGGAACAGTAATCGTGTATCGATAAATGCAATTACATCTCATTAGAGTAGATCGATGGTATTGAAAAAATCTCTGGTAACGAGTAATTGACAAGTAAAAAGTCGCGCGCGGTTTGTCGATGTGGTGTGTATTGAAGTGAGTGTACGAGGGGCGTTAACTCCGCCTCTCTAGGCGTAGGGAGGGCCGGATGTCGGAGGTGTGAGGGAGGAAAGAGGACCAGTCGCGTTCGCCACCGCGGAGCCAGCGCGCGTTTGCCGCTACAACGCGAACTAACGCGGACAAGTTCACGATTACATCTTGCAGGAACTGTTTGTGATAAAAACATAGTGTATACAATAAGGACAATATTTTTAATTGTTTTTTATCGTGTGTGACATTTGCTTCTTAGAAAAAATAAATAAAAAAATCTTGTTTTTAAAAATTTGACTCTTTTTTAATCTGTCTATTAGGATATTTTTGAACTGGTGATAAAGTGACTGAATACAAGATGAATATTATAAAGCAACCTGTTTATTAAAAATGTTACTTTTAAATAGAAAGACTAGTTGTGATATAAATTGTAGAGTATTTAAAAATGGACTTGACGACGCGTCGCGGGGAGGATGGGATCGGAGAGGTTGGATGCAACGGTACTGAGTGCCGTGAGATAGTGAATGGTTCTCAAGGATGTGAGGTGACAGGGGTGACAGTTGAAACAGCACCCCCGCAAAGAAAAACAAACTCGTTCAGTATAAGACATTTAGTTGGCGCGGAAGATTCGGAACGAAGTGCCGACGGCAATGTTTCTAACGAAGGTATGTTTAGAATTAATTTTTAAAATTATTCATGTTAAAAAATACATTTATTAAATTAAAATAAAGCGAATTTCATATTTTAATCATCATTTGGAATTGAATTGCATAGTTTTAAATAATAATTCTATTATTATTTCCACAATTGCAAAAACAAAATAATTAAACAGTTACGTAATGTAACAAAAAGTGTTTTTGTGAAATCATACTGTATTTTAAATTGTAATTAAATTAATTATGATTAATTTAACTTTATTATAAACGGATACATTTGCATTAATTACCAACATCATAAATCTTTGTAATGAAACTTTTTAATCTCCTCTTTTAAATTGGTATATAAACTTAATATCTCGAATGGTCTGGAGATATTTTAAAACTTTATTATGCAACTATTAATCATTATCAACGCACTCAAAAATAATTGGAGGTTAACTTGGTATTTTGTATCGTAAACCGTACTTATAACCATGTAATTCCACGGTCGAAAAACATTGCCATCTCATTCTTTTCACTGGGAATGAGTGAGATGACTAATATTTTTATAAAAGTGTGTCAACAGTATAGTCTCGGTGATTCTCCAACCAATAAGGAGTCTTAAAACGTATTTGCCGTTTAAAGTAAACTGCAATTAATAATCATTTTAATAAAGTCTTTGTCTCCCATTTTCATTAATTAAACGACGGGCTATTACTCAAGATGTTTTACAAAATAATAATAATTTTTCTAGACACTTCTAACTAAGATGCCATATCGCTTTGTGTGAAATAATTTAAATTAGCAACATTAATTATATAATATTATTTTATTAACATAAAGGCATAATAATTTAGTTTATTTTTAAAATATGATCAGGAAAACCCGAGTATAAAGAATCTAGTACATGCAATAGTTTAGCATAATATATTTAATAGTGGTAGAGCCCGCTTTAACATATTCGCAGGAATTGGTCCGGTTCGCCCGGTGAAATACCACGACCACACAGAAGATAGGCGTCAAGTGGAAGCAAATCCGCGTTTCATCTCGAGTATGCGTCCCGGAGGCCTAATTTAGTCCTCATTCCCTTCCCAGACTTTTTCTTATAAGGAAAGGATGGTAAGTGGAAGTGGACTTTCCGGATGAGAGGATGCTTAGGAAGGGAAAATATTTTCTTTCTGTGCATCCTCTCCTCCGTTGATTAAAGGTAGGCAACGCATATGCAATTGCGTATGTCTATGGGCAACGGTCACTTCGCTATTTCAGCGATTTCAAAAAAAAAATTGTAATTATATCCATAATAATAGACCGATATAGTTTTTTTTTATTTTTTAAATATATCATTGTCTATGTTTCGATTTAAATTTTAATGTAATTTGTTTTTTTTTATATAATTTTAATTTAATATACATTTATTAATATAATAATTAAAGAAGAAACATTGCGGTTGGCAATTAATTTTCAAATATAATATTTATTACATTTCCGGGATAGCAATTATTAACAATAAAACGATTATATGTTATTGCAAACCTCGAACCAATATAAGATTTAAATTATCAATTTTACATGTATTCTTATAATTGACAACAATATTTTGTTTAATTGGGGTCACGACGTTTTTTGTTTTTAAACGAGTATGTTCATAATAATGGTAGTTAACAGTTATCCAATAAATTCACAATTATTTTTAATAAAAAATACTTCTTATTTTTCAGTCTAAAAGAGGTAGAAATGATATTAACCCTTATTGTGGCTAGATTTTGTTTTTGAAGAAAAGCCAAAAACAAAGTTAAAAAAAAAACTAAGTTAATTTTTTTAATAGTGATATAGTATACAAAATGAACATAAGGGTTAACACATTGCATGCTGCTATGCTTTTAATGAAGTCTGCTCTTATTTTGTATATATTTCACTGGACTTGTTACGTGGGTCGATGGCATTGAACGTGTTAACGTTTTGATGTTTCAGGCTTTCTAATTTTTTCTTATGACTATATTACTAATACAATTATTATGTTAGATCTGCCTGTTAGCTACAAAATGATTTTTATTTCATACTAGCTGTCGGCCGCGACTCCATCCACGCGGTATGACATAAAATTAGTAGCCTATGTGTTCTTCCGGACTATGTTCTACAACTGTGCCACATTTCAGAGATCTATGCAGCCGTTCTGGAGATACCTTCAAATATCCATCCAAACATTCGCATTTATAATATTAGTAACATTAGTAAGATAATAAGATTTTAAATAATTTAAGGCATAAAAATCCGTGTCAATTCTTAAACATAAGCCATGTGAAGAAATTTCTAATTTGTATCGTATTTTATGAGGTTTATTAAAAATAGTAAATCAAAGATTTTTGTTTTGCACTTTCCATCAGCAGCACCTTTCCGTGCCAGTTACCTTGTGACGTCACTCGCCCCTAACTAGGCGCTTCCGGGATTAAATTGGCCGACCCTCGGGACGGTTAACGCGCGTCGATTGCGCGGACTAGCACAACCTCCAACTAACTTTCTGTATTTATTATTTAGAATAGTTTATTCTCACAACTTAACACATTCGAAACACTTAGCTACGGCAAAATCCTTTTTATATCTTACTAATATTATAAATACGTATGTTAAGGACGGATGGATGTTTGAAGGTATCCCCAACGGCTGCACGGATCTTGCTGAAATTTGGCATAGATGTAGAACACAGTCTAAAAGAATACACTGATAAAGTTTTTTTTTAATTCCGCGCAGATAGAGTCACGGCCGGGAAAATTTAAGTACCTATAGCAAATGATTTTTGTATTTTTTTTCATTAAAATATTTTATCTGTTTGAATTTCCTGTATTAAGTTTTTACTTTTAAAAATTGATAACTTATTTATTTGACGAAAAACATGATAAAAGGCAAAATCAAATCACAATTTATGCAATTTCCTGATTGAGTAGTATTTAAACGAATAATGAAGTTTTTTTAGGAACATCTCAAGATTAAAAACAGAATATTAATAAGTACAAACTACTTATTGACTATTTCGTAGGAAAGATTTTTTTTACTAAATACGAATTTGTGTATTTTAAATGTTATTTAAATTGTATTTGTACTACCTAGTATTTTAAGTAAATATTATTATTAATTTGATGGATTTAAATTATTAATAATTCTCTATCATTATTAATAATTATACATAAACTTTTATTATTAATAATTCACTTCTCCCGTCGGTAATATTATAATATTAAAATAACATTTTTATATTTTCATCTAGTAATTGTTCATACTTATCATTTTATATAATATCAATCACGTTTTGTAATAGTAGACATTTTTGTTTGTCTTTTTTAATCAAGAAAGTTGCAATCAAGACCTTAAATTAAGGTTTTTCTTAATTAAAAAAAAATCTAAGCCCAATTTACCAAACTTGTGAAGTTTATTTTTCGTTTTTAATTATTACATTTATCTGTAATAAGGTTTAATTATTATTAATAATGATAAACAATTATTTAATGATAATAATTTTCAATTAATTACAACGCGACATAAACATTAATATATAAATAAAGTTGCAATAAGAATAACTTCATTATAAGATTAATTCCTTTCCTTATTTAAATTCAAGTACTTAATTTATTAATATTATTATTTAACTAGCTATCGCCCAGGACTCCCTCTGCGCGGAATAAAAAAACTTAACTAGTAACCTATATGTACTTCCAGACTATGTACTACATCTATACCAAATTTCAGCGAGTTCCATGCAGCCGTTTTGGAGATACCTTCTAACAAAAATCTATTTATCCATCCAAACATCCGTTTTTTTTATAAAATAATAGCAGACTTTTTTTTGTAAATTTACTAATATTTCTTTTAGCATTCCAACTAAGCTCTATGCTTGTGCTAGGATATGGTTCACGACAATAGTCGAATGTCGGGATTCGAACCCCGACCCCGTGATCGGAAATCCGTACTCTTAACCATTAGGCTATTGACGCTTGATTTATAATATTAGTAAGATTTAAAAGTTCAATAACATATATAATGGCCGCACTTTTTTAGTGTTGACACTTTACACAAATAGGCTTAAAGTTAATTAAACGCATTCCTATATAAGTCAAACTGCGATCAAATGCATAACGATAGTTTGCGATGTTTGAAAAAAGTAATGCAAATTACCTTTATAGTGTATTTAATAGCACCTTATCATTGTCATCTAGACTAGGGCTTGCTTACAGCATTGACTTGCAAAACTTCGCTCGTCGCTCCCCCTAGCGGCTTAATTACATTTCCGTTAACTGCCTATCAACTTTTTTTATCGTCATTTTATATTGCATTTGAACAAATATAGAGCGAACAAACAAGGCATGAGGTGAGGGAAAAGTGCGTAATATTGCTTTATAGATGGAGTTCTATCCATTACGTTTACCATATGCGAATATTAATTTTATTATACGTCAAAGAATTTATAACCATCTACATCGATCGGTTTACACTGATGAGAAACTTGTGTTGTGATGAGTTAAATAAAACCTTATAAATAAACGACTTTACTATAAAGTGCAAATAGCTGTTATGCTCAATTTTTTTTAAAGAATATTACAAAACAAAAAATCAATTACGATCAGTGTTTGTCTAGGGTATAAATTTAATTAGTCTTTGGTCATTGCACAACCTTAGGTTATCTATTAACGATCTTTGATCACGCAATGTTATACGAAGCGATGTTAAATATAATAAATTTATGAAGTGGAAATAGCAAGAAAAAGATTAGAAATAAGTAAACAATTATAGTCTTAACTACATACAAAAATTATCTTATTGTATGAAAAATTGTATGTTTTTAATCACTAAACTGTAACAAAAGTAACAGAACACTCGACCGCAAGTCATGTTGGAAGAGGCCACGAATTTCCAATTGACGAGGTTTTGGTCCTAGTGCACCTAAAAATAAAAAAAATACTAAAAGAAACTAAATTGTTCTAAAGTCGAAAAGTTCAGTGTTTTATTTCATTAAGTATAGTTTCAATTTGAAATGA